TTTTTATTTTAAAGAGAATAAAATCAAACAAAACAAAACAGAATAAAGCTAATCAGAACAGAACAATGAAAGTGATACAGGACTTCAAAACAAGATAATAGGAAGTCAACAATGGCTAACATAATGTTGCTTGTTTTCTTCAAAATAGCTGTGCATACCAGCAGACCTAATAAAATCAAACAAAACTGATTACAGTCAAAACAAAAGAATTTAAGTGTAAAGAGAATAAAACCAAACAAAATAAAACAGAATAAAGCTAATCAAAACAAAACAGTGTAAGTGATACAGGATTTCAAAACAGGGTAACAGGAAGTCAACAATGGCTACCATAATGCCTTTTGTTATCTTCAAACTTGCTGCCCATACCAACAGACATAATAAAATCAAACAGAACAAAACGAAACCAATCAAAACAGAATATTGAATAAAACAAAACAATAAGAGAACAAAATAAAACAGTGAAAATAATATTGAATTTCAAAAACAAGATAGAAAGAAATGCCCCATATTTGCCATATTGCCTATTGTTATCCTTTTAATAGATGCTCAGACTACTGGCCTTCAGCTTGCAAAGTCAATCAAACAATAGAAGCATTAAGTTGTTCTGGTACCTCAGATGCTATCAATTCAGCCTGTATTCAAATTCTTCTGGTTGCTTACAGGGGCAGGGTCGGGGTATGTCCCAAGTTGGCTCATAGGAAGGGTGAATTTAGCTTGTTTCTCCTCCTGGCACTACATGGCTTGTGCTGACTCACAGGAAAGGTGACTTGGCTTCTTGTTCTTATAACTCCTCCCAGGCCCAGCATGGCTTCCCCTGATTCATGCCTAGCCTACTTTAAAATGAACTACAAAAGAGAAACTGGGGAACCCTTATCTATTATTTTTCTTTATAAAAACAATTTAAACTCTACTATTTTCTCCATATACACATTTAATTTATTCTCCTTTGAGAGTAGGTTGAATATATCATGTCCTTTTACCTCTTTATATTTAATGTTATCTTACTAAGAAAAAAGATATTCTTTTAATCACCCCACAGTTATCAAATATAAAACTACTTTAATTTGTTTTTTTTTTTTTTTTTTTTTTTGGTGGGGACAGGGTCTTACTATGTATTTCAAAGTGGCCTTGAACTCGTTAGGTAATCCAGGCTGGCTTTGAACTCCTGCCTCAGTCTTTTGATAGCTGCGATTACATACACATGCCACCATACCCAGCTTATTCATATTCCAATTTCATCAATTGTTCCAATAAAGGTTTTATAGAATTTCTCCCATTGGTGGAAGTTTCAATTTAGGATCATGCAATGCCTTTAATTTTCAAGTCTACTTAGCCCCTTCTAGTACAATATAGCTGGTTCTTTCACTTTCTTGTTCCTATTATGAAAATATCCTGCTTCTCATAAAACTTTGCTCCTTTCTCCATTTAGCATCCATTGATGATATTTGCCCAGTCTTTATCATGATTGCCCAGTCTTTATTATATTTCCAACTGCTGACCCTCCCACTGTACTACTTCCTCTGGATTTATCAATGAAACTTCTAGGGGCTGGGGATTTAGCTCAACAGCATAAGGTCCTGCCTTGCAAGCAGGCAGTCGTGAGTTCAATCCCTGGTGCCAAAAAAGACTAAAAATAAATAAATAAATAAAGCTTTTAGTTTCAGGAGAACAGCCTTCCCCTCATCCCTCACATGTCTATCTGTGTATCTGTTTCTTTTTTTTTTTTTTTTTGTCTTTTTCCTTTTTATCGGTACCGGGGATCGAACTCACGACTGCCTGCTTCCAAGGCAGGCGCTTATGCCGCTGAGCTAAACCTCCAGCCCCTCTGTTTTTTATTAGTATAGACTCATGAATTCTAATTTTGTTCATTGCTGGAGTAGCAATGAACTATAACTCACTAAACAAAATTTATACCAGATTTGGCCAGTGAGAAAACCTTCAAGCTGGTTCTTTCTGACCAGGATTTGCCCAGTCTTACTTTTGCCCACAATAAAATGTTCCAGTTCCTCAGTGTCATTCTGCCCAGTCCCTGAAGTCAGCCAGTTCTCCAAAACTCTCTGGTTTATTTTAGTGTTGACATGTGGTTATAAATGAAAATCTGGCTGGGGATTCTTTAATTTTGAAGTTAGCTTCCATCACAATATGAATATATTTCATTATTTAATTGAATATAATTATTTCAGACCACAAATTGTAAAGAAAGAACATTCCCTACAACAGCTAAGTCTCTAAATAAGACACTAGCTTATATATTTGTGGATGGGGCTTTGCTATAAAAAAAGATAAATCTGAGTCATTTGTAGGAAAACGGATGTAACTTGAGAACATAATGGCATAATGTTAAGTGAAATAAATCAGACACAGAAGCTTAAATATCACAGTTCCTCTTATCTGAGAAACCCAAAATATAAAGAGCAAAATAAAAGAGAATAGGAAACAGGGACATAGATCTTTTGTCAATGGGAAGGGAGCAAGAGACGGAGGGAGGAGAAAGGAAGTGAGTGTAAGAAGGATGAGGATGGATGCACATGTACCAACTCCCCAAAAGGAATGCATTCATAGCACTGCAGGCATGTGGTAATAAAAATAAAAACTTAAAGGAAAAAAAAGAAATTTGTCGGCTGGGGATATAGCTCAGTGGCACAATGCTCATCTGGCCTGCACAAGGCTCTGGGTTCAATCTCCAGCACTGTGAAAGAAAAAAGGATTTTGTGCTGAAAGACTGCATAGGTTTTGAAAGAGTATAATCTACAGAATCCTGAAGAAAAATATAATAAAGCATAGGACACTGCATTGACTTCATTTCAAAGAAATAGAATCATAGCTTTGTGAAATTACATCTTTTTGCAGTCAAATGCGAGTCACAAAAGAGATTTTTCTTTTTACAGAGTAAAATGTGTTATATTATACAGTGGTAACACCTCACATAGTTTTTATGTATGTGATAAAGGTAGATGAACTAGAAAATGTTTGAAATAAGCACATCGATTTCTATTTTAACTGAAAGAAATAAAATATTCTGTCTCTTGATAATCAATGTTTTAATACAAAATACCTTTGAAATACCAAAGGTGAAATAAATGGAGATGATATTTTATGTGATGGCATCACAGGTAAAGACCTATTTAATTTTTTTGTCTTATATAGTGTTTAATGTTCATTCCCAAGTCCACCATTGCTTGAGAATCACCTGAGACTTTTATAATTCAGGTTCCTGAACAACATTTTGGTTCACTGGAACAGTATACAGTATCTTGTGATTCCATAATGTGTATTTTAAAAATATTCCCAAAAAATTCTGAGGCATTTGACTGTCAAACTGGTTTGGGAACTATTGGACTTGACTCCATATATATAAATTTTTGGTGGTCTTCCTGGTTCAGCCTCCTAAGTGCTGTGATTACAGGCATGCACCACTACATCCAGCAAAAAGATATAGTACATAGTATATTTTTACCTAGGTGAAAGTCTCATTACATATAGTTGGTCCTGTTTCTGTGGGTTCTCCAGCTGCACACTCAACCAACTAAGGATTAAAAATATTGGTCTTTAGTCAACTTTGGCAGACTTTCCCCCCCATTATTCCCTAAACCAGTGATGGAAACCTTTTAGCAGCAAGTTCCCACACTGCAACCCCAAGTATCTCTATGCTTCCCAGGCTAGCCTTGAATGCCGACCCTCAAGAGTCTCCCATCTCAGCCTTCCCAGTCCAGCACTGGGAGTACTACTCAATGGTTTTCCTCTTCTATAGCTCTACTTAAAATAAGTAAATAAATAAATAAAATATATACACTTTTCTTGCACTTTAAAACTTTATTGGTACGTTTGAGATACACATAATGATAACATTCTTCATAGGGAATTTGTACTTACACATGACAGATCTTGTTTCTTTTCCCATTCCTCACCCTCCCTTCAACCTCTCTTCCCCTCCTTATTTACAAAAGCTTTGTTTCCATTTTTCTTTTTTCCTAGCCCTTTCTTTCCTTTTCCCTCCTCTTTCTCTAGTTCCTCTTCTCATTTGAACACCTTTTCCCATTTCCTGATGTCTATTATACATTTTGATCTTTATTTATATTTTTATTTTCTCACATCAGAAAAATGGTATAGTATTCAAACATGTGTTTTCGGTTTATTTCACTTAAGAGTATGGTCTCAAGGTGCATCCATTTGTCTAGAAATGGCTCAAACATATCCTTCTCTATAGCTGAGTAGTAGTTCATTGTATTAAAAACACTCTTTAGACATTCCTCAGTTGGTGGACGTTTAGGCTTTTATAGCTCTGTTAAATAGAGCAAGTTTTAAAAGTTCTGTTATGATCATAATATTTTCATTTTACTTCTGTACCAAAGAGGGATTTGTCCTCATCTCCACTGCTGACAGAAACGATTTATTGAGACAAAAACGTTATTAGCTTAAGGTGTTAAATTTTGTAACAGTAAGGGAGGTGGTGGGGAGGTTTCAAAATCCAAAAGTGCTTCAAAATTATGCAATGATGCTTTCTCTTATAAGAGGAACCCAAAATATAAATAAAAAAGGTGACCAAGAGATGGAGGGGAAGAGAAAGAGATGAAAAAGAATTAAAATGTGTAATGTAGATGCACCGATGTGATCATTACATATACTACAAACATGTGCGTACTAGTAAAAAAATAAAAAAAATTAAAAATTCAAGATAAGTTTTGGTTTAAAAAAAAAAAGAGAAGAAAAGAAAGGGAGACATTTTACTAGAAGTTTAAAACCAACAGGCAATTGGGAACAATTCCCCAGCTCACTATGGTCCCCTTTCCTCTTCACTCACTGTTTCTTGGTTAGTAAGCAGTAACACGGTTACCAAGCCCAGAGCCGCGCGCGCACCACTCTCCAGTCGCTCCAGCCCCCGGCGGAGCGGGAAAAGCAGAGGAAACAACGCCGCAGGGCACCTGAGAGGCCCCGGCTCTCTGCAGCCTAAAGGGAGATTGGGCGCGGCCGAGTTTGGGGCGTGGCTAGCTGCTTCCCTCTCCCTTCGCCCCCGCCCGGTTCGTCCCGCTACGATCCCGACAGGCCCAGCGACTAGGGGAGTCACGTGAGGGTGGGCGGTGGAAGGAGAGGCTGGCCGCCGCTGGCTCTCAGTCTCTATGGTTGTCGGAGGTGGCTTCTACCCAGCTGCTAAAACTTGAGCGTGAACGGGTGAGTCCAGAACCCCGAAGGGTGGAGGTGCGACAGCCATTTAAGGAACGCGGAGAAGGTGGCGGAACAACCTCAGGGACCTGGGCTCCGGGTCAGTCATTTGTCAGGTGCCCCGGGGTTGCGGCGACTTCTCGGGGCCGCCGAGACAGCTGTCTGTCCCCGACGCACTCGGCTCGCGGTGCCGAGAGCCGTCCGTAGTCCTGCCTGCTTCGCGTTCCCCGCTTTCCTTCACCTCCCTCCGCGCCGAGTCCCTTGCCGGAGAACTTCTCCCAGTGCCGGTTCCCCGGGTGCTACGTCCCCCCGCTCGCTGGGGCGCGGACGCCGGGACTGTTCCCGGGAATTTGTGGATGTGGTCGGAAGCGGGCGCGGGAGCTTACGGCTGGATCTCCGGTAGGGAGATACATTAACCGCTGACTCCAAAAAGTGGCAAATCACCGGCGCTTTGCAGGAACAAAACAAAGTGTAGGTTTCCCGGATAGTTCAGTTTTTGTTTTCCAGCGCCTCCGCCTGCTTTTCTCATCCCACTGTGTGTGCGCGCATGCCTGTCTCTCTCTATCCACTTTCCAACCCTTCTTTCTCTCAAGTTTGTTTCGCACTGTCCCGTACTGGACCATCTTACCTTGTTTTGAGAATCAGCTGAGTATTATTGACTCACTGTGAATGTTGAAAGACTTTAAGACGGACTGTTCTTGTCATCTCTGTGATTATAAGTTTTTTCATTTCTAGGTGTCTGAAAAGTATTGTAGGTACTGTAAACTTAAGTTAAATAAACATTTTGTTATCAAGAGATAGATAAATATTTTATTCTTCTCATCATACCTTGGAAAGATCTATTTTTCTCCCATTATTTTCTAAGTCGATGTTGCTATCAGATCTTTTGTGTGGCTTCTTTGACATATGTACTTTTGTTTACATTAAAATACCCCATAGGGTCAAATCGGCTATATTAGAAGGGAGTTGGCAGTAAAGATGAAACAAGTGTGGGGTTGATAGTTTAGGAGAGTAGGTTTCATTGGACCATATAACAAATTAATAAGATTTCAGCATCTTGAGACAAAAATGTTGACCAGGATGACCAACTTGCTGACTTTCTGGTGTAGACAAAGTAATACTTTTTTTGAATATTGCCTTATTCTAGAAGTTTTAGAGTCTACTGCCGCTTGTCCATGAACTAGTCTTTGCCTCCTTGCTTGATAAGTCTCTTGATTGTGTCTTCCACTTACAGGACGTTACTCTAGCCATCTACTTATGTGAAGAAAGTGTCATTGACCCTTGCATGTCCTACTGAGGTTCGGAAGTTACAAAATAATATTGACAAAAAGCACAGATACAGAAATAGCTTTTGTGCTAGGGGTGAAGGGAAATGAGTGATAACTAATAAAAGCAAGAGAAGAATGTAATCTATAAAGTATATATAGGAAGACAGCAACAAAGATAGCCTTTATCACTGTCTTCCTATTTAGTCTATGGAAGGCTTACTAAATTTAGTAAACTTTTTTTGTTTTTGAGACTTGGTCACATTGTGCTGTTGAGACCACCCTCAAACTCCCGTACTCAATTTCCAGAGTAGCTCTTTCTTCACCCTCTACTTCAGCTGCCAGGATCTTTTTAATTCCTCTGAAGGCTACAGCTTGAGACTGACTTTTCTATATTTAACAAAGAACCAATGACATGGTAATTTCTTCTATAATTCAATTATATGTAAATAATAAATGAAATGTTTAACTGACCAGTGTCTTCAGAATTTACACACACACACACACACACACACACACACACACAATTTTTCCCCTCTACTGGGGGATGAACTCAGGGCCTCATTCATGCTTGGCAAGTGGCCTACCAATAAGCAACAATTCCAGACCTTTTGAGACATGATCTTGCAAAGTTGTGTCCTTTGACTGGCTTTATACTTATCTTCGAGCCTTAGTCTCCTGAGTAGCCAAAGTTTACAAGTGTGTACCACTGTCCTGGGTAGGACTAATGTAATTGACAATTTTTTCTAAAGATTTTTTCACTTTTAAACTTTAAAGTTAGTTTACTCTCTTGAGCTATTTTTCAGCGGCTGGAGCTCTTGCTTAACCCTTTTCCCATCTATAGAGTTGTTTAATATATTCTTTTTTATATGAGAACCAGTTTTTAAAAAAGATTTAGCATTCGCAACTTTTTCCCCCAGGCAAAATAAAATAGATTTATTTTGTACCGAAGGAAAAAGGAACTTCTTTTTAGCTAGAACTTCTGTTCACTTATAAGAAAATTGCTAATGCTTTTAGTACATTAAATATTAAATAAGTGCATTTGAGCAGAAAACACACGGACAGTATCTTTAAATGTTTTATATTTCTTATTATAAAAGTAATGTGGCCAGTAATGGTGGTGCACACCTTAATCCCAGCACTCAGGAGGTTGAAACAGGATTGCTGTGAGTTCAAGGCCAGCCTAGGCTACATGGTGAGTTCAGGGCCAGCCTAAACTACATAGCAAGTAATGGTGGTGCACACCTTAATCCCAGCACTCGGGAGGTTGAAGCAGGATTGCTGTGAGTTCGAGGCCAGCCTAGGCTACATGGTGAGTTCAGGGCCAGCCTAAACTACATAGCAAGACCCTTGAAAAAAAAAAGTTATGTGTGCTTATTTTTTTTAAAATGGGAACATTATAGAAGTATAACATTGAAAGTCACTTTGTAAATTATGTTTTCCTCTCCCAGCATGGAATCACTGGTTCCTTTTTCGTATCTGGGAATCAGTGTGAAAAGTAGTCTGTGGTGTCAGATTTGCTGGGAAGGTTTGTAGCAAAAGCCCTAGGCTTACATCCTTAACCTCAGAAGCCCTAGAAGAAAGACAGTTTCCCTTTTTGTACTATTCTAGTAAACTCCTGTAAGGTAGTCTGTTTGGCTTCAGTGGGTCTTTGCCTATCCTAGAAGCAGTTCTAGTGCCCAGGATGATGGGCTATTTTATGTGGCCAGGCTTAGATTTTCTTTCTACTATGGACTAGTGCAAAGGGGAACACAGTTTCAAATCACATAATACAAGAGTGGGAGATATAGTTCCTAAAGAAAAAGTCAGGGTTTTTTCCTGGTAAAGAAAATGGTAGCTGGGTAAACAAAAACAACATGTTTACATGCATTTGCATTTTTAATTCAGAGAACTGTGTTTTGTTAAATTAATTAAATTTACAGTTTCTGAGTTGGTTTTTCATTTTTAAGTGTCTTACAGAACTTGAAATTTAAACTCGTTAGTGTGTCTATATGTATTGTCATTACATATATAGCACCTTTGTAGTTTAAGCTCTTATTTTGCAAATACTTGTATTGTTACTATAGGTCTAGTATCTTTTCTCTGTAGTATTCAGGTTGTTTGTTTATTTATGTATTTATGCAGCACTGGGAGTTGAACGTAGGTAAGTTGCACTGAGATACTTTCCCAGTCCTTCTTAGTTTGTATTTTTGTATTGCCCAAACTGACCTTGAACTTGTGGTCCTTCTGCTTCAGCCTCTTCAGTAGCTGGAATTACAGGTATGTACCATGGTATCCAGGGGTTTTTGTATATTTTTTGCTGTGCTGGTGATCAAACTCATGGCTTTATGTATGCTAGACAAGAGCTCTACCACTGAACTACATCCCTGAGTCAAATATTACAGGTTTATGCTTAATCTGGCAGTTTGCTAAAATTGAACATTGGTTTTCTGTGTTTTTTTGTTTGTTGTATTTTATTTATTTATTTTGGTACTTGGAGTTGAACTCAGGACCTTGTGCTTACCAGGCAGGTGCTATGCTGGTGAGCTATATCTTAGGCCTTTTGTGTGTATGTGTGTGTGAGTGCACAGGTGATCAAACCCAGAAACTAATACATACACTCTACTTCTGAACTATAACCCTAGCCCCCTGATCATTGGCATTTTTCCTATCGTGAGTGAACTGGACTAAGAAACTGTAGCTTATATATCATAAATAAAATGTTTTGATATTTAAAATAAGAGGTTGATATGAGTAAATGCTTGATTCTTTTACTTATTTTATATTTAACTTATCAATTAATTTTTTGGTTTTTGAGACAAGGTCTTGCTATAGTTCAGGCTGACCTTGAACTCGCTCAGTAAACCGGGCTGGTCTTGAACTCAAGGTGATCCTGCCTTGGCCTCTTGAGTGTTGAGATTACAGGCATGTACCATGCCTGGCAATTTTATGTTTAAAAGTCTGTAGAGACCACTTCATTTTGAGCACTGTATGAAAAATAAATCATTATAACTGTCACTAATGGATGTGTCTGAGTAATAACTTTAAAATTATAATTAACATTAATGTCTAGTTTTGTATATTTATGCATTATTCTGATGGTTCATTATGTTTTAAGAGAGAATGTAATTAAGGCAGCATATTGTTTATTCCACTGTCTTCTTTTTGATTGAAAGAAATGTCAGCAGCTCAATTTAATGGACATTTGAACTTTAATTGCTAACACTGAGCAGCACAGGCTAGAGTTTATTGTTTTTTATGTTTATTTTTTTATGTTTATTTTTTTCAGTTTTAGGGTTATATCCTAGCCCTTTCATTTTTATTATTTTTTTTAAGAGTAGAAAATATTTATGGAGAGACAAGAAAGCTCCTGTCAGAGGAGCAGGAGGGGGCCTGAATGTGTAGCACAGGAGCCCCCCTTTCATTTTTATTTTTACTTATTTTTCAAATCCATTTTATTCATAGATAAAAAGAAAGAAAAAAAGCTACAACAAAATTTTAAAGTGCATCTGTCAGAGGATAACAATAGTATGTACATTACACATTGTCATACCCAAATCATTCACCCAGAGCACAAGACATTTGCCTTTAATTATCTGAACAATATCAGTACAAATCTTTCTCTTCAGCAAACCCAGAGAAATCAGTAGTATAACTGCCTTAACTATTTTTAATGTACATATACATACGCATATACATATGTTTTTTTTCTTTCAGCTTATTACACTAATGAAAATATGTTTACACATGTATGTGTTATTCATT